ACTGCAACCTTTGCCTTCCTGGTTCAAGCGATGCTCCTGCCTCAGTCTCCTGAGTTGCTGGGATTAAAGGCGCCTGCCACCACGCCCAGCTTTTTTTTGGGTATTTTTAGTAGAGATGGGGTTTCACCATATTGGCCAGGCTGGTTTTGAACTCCTGACCTCAAGTGATCCACCTGCTTTGGCCTGGCAAAGTGCTGGGAGGCACGGCCACCACGCCCGGCCTCTGCTATCTCTTTGACACCTGAGGCCTCTGCTTCTGAGCTAAGTGGGACCTCAGGTCTCTGAAACCTACAGGTTCCTACCCAGGGATGTGGTGCTCCCTTAGGGAGGTGAACCTGCTTCCTGGGGTGGTCCGTGGGGGTTTCCTGCTCTCACTTCTAGTGGGCCCAGGGGATTCCACACTTTTTCTTCCTTGCTGTGTTTTAGACGCTTCTCCCCACCAAGAGCCTGGCCCCATCTCCTCCCCAAGCTTTGACCTGTGAATCAAAAGGTCAGGGGTAGAAGGTTCCAGAAGGTTGCCTCTGCTCCATCATCAAATCTCCCCTGAAACTTGGAAGCAAGGGGCTGGCCGGGGTTTGCAGGAGGGACATGGAATACCCATGACGAAGGAGACAGCTGCCATCTCATCGTCAGATCCATTCCAAACTGAGCTGTCTCTCGGCGCCAAGCCCTGAAGTCCCCTGTATGCTCTAGACCACCTGTCAGCCACCATCTCAGTGGACGTTTAAGCATCTGTGGTGATGGAATCCCTCACTGATAGTGGGAGGCAAAATAATGTCCTGCAAAGATACCCACGTCCTAATCCCCATGTGGGAGACAGAATAATGACCCCAAAGACGTCCACATCCTAATCCCATGTGGGAGACAGAATAATGGCCCCAAAGATGTCACGTCCTAATCCCATGTGGAGACAGAATAATGGCCCCAAAGATATCCCGTCCTAAATCACATAAATTACACAGAATAGTGGCCCCAAGATGTCACATCTTATCCCATGTAAGTAGACAGAAAAATGACCCCAAAGACGTCCACATCCTAATCCCCATGTGGTAGATACAATAATATTTAAGATGTCATCCTAATCCCATGTGGGAGACAGAATAATGGTCCCAAAGATGTCCACGTCCTAATCCCATGTGGGAGACAGAATAATGGCCCCAAAGATGTCCACGTCCTAATCCCCATGTGGGAGACAGAATAATAGCCCCAAAGATGTCCACAACCTAATCATGTAGTAGACGGAATAATGACCCCAAAGGTTCACATCTTAATCCCATGTGGGAAGACAGAATAATGGCTAAGATGTCCATGTCCTAATCCCCATGTGGGAGACAGAATAATGGCCCCAAAGATGTCCACGTCCTAATCCCATGTGGTAGACAGAATAATGGCCCCAAAGATGTCACGTCCTAATCCATGTGGGAGACAGAATAATGACCCCAAGCAATCCCATCCTAATCCCATGTGGGAGACAGAATAATGGCCCCAAAGATGTCCACAACCTAATCCCATGTGGTAGACAGGATAATGACCCCAAAGACGTTCACATCTTAATCCCATGTGGGAGACAGAATAATGGCCCCAAAGATGTCCATGTCCTAATCCCCAATGTGGGAGACAAATAGCAATACATGGCGTGGGAGACAGAATAATGGCCCCAAAGATGTCCACGTCCTAATCCCCATGTGGGAGACAGAATAATAGCCCCAAAGATGTCCACAACCTAATCCCATGTGGTAGACAGAATAATGACCCCAAAGACGTTCACATCTTAATCCCATGTGGGAGACAGAATAATGGCCCCAAAGATGTCCATGTCCTAATCCCCATGTGGGAGACAGAATAATGGCCCCAAAGATGTCCACGTCCTAATCCCATGTGGTAAGACAAGTCAATGGCCCCAAAGATGTCCACGTCCTAATCCCATGTGGGAGACAGAATAATGACCCCAAACGTCCACATCTAATCCCATGTGGGAGACAGAATAATAGCCCCAAAGATGTCCCCAACCTAATCCCATGTGGTAGACAGGATGAATGACCCAGGCGTTCACATCTTAATCCCATGTGGGAGACAGAATAATGGCCCCCCAAAGATGTGTCCATGTCCTAATCCCCCATGTGGGAGACAGCAGCAGAATAATGGCCCCAAAGATGTCCACGTCCTAATCCCATGTGGTAGGCAGAATAATGGCCCCAAAGATGTCCACATCTGAACCCATGTGGGAGACAGAATAATGGCCCCAAAGATGTCCATGTCCTAATCCCCATGTGGGGAGCAGAATAATAGCCCCAAAGAGAAACGTCCATGTCCACCACTGTATATGTGTTCCTATGTGGGGGCAGAATAATGTGTGGCTCCAAGATGTCACATCCCCCTGTGTCCCAATGTGGAGCAGAGCAGAATAGTGGCCCCAAAGATGTCCATGTCCTAATTCTGTGGGCATAGTGGCAGACGCCTGTAATCCCAGCTGCTTGGGAGGCTGAGGCAGAGAATTGCTTGAACCAGGGAGGAGGTGGAGGTGCAGTGAGCTGAAGTTACTGCCACTGCCTCTGGCCACTGCCTGGCGAGCAAGTGAACCACAACACCTTATGAAATAACAAATAAGGTTTATTTGGCTCATAATTCTGCACTGTGAGTGTACACACACGGAGATCATGGTTTCAGTGTCTGCTGCTGGTGAAAACCTCAGCAACTTCCACTCCAGAGAGCAAAGGGAGCTGGTGTTACACGAGGTGGGAGAGGTGGCAAGAGGCGGGGAAGGAGGTACCCAGCCTCTATTTCTTTCTATGCCTTTTTTTTTTTTTTTTTTTTTTCTCTGGGGAGACAGGGCTCCCTCTGTGGCCCAGGTTGGAGTGCAGTGGCGCGATCTTGGCTCACTGCAAGCTCTGCACTCCCTGTTCAAGCGATTCTCCTGCCTCAGCCTCCCAGTAGCTGGGATTATGAGTGCGCGTGCGATGCCCGGCGGGCCGGCCGAATTTTTTTTTAATACGCCATGTGGGAGACAGAATAATGGCCCCAAAGATGTCCATGTCCTAATCCCCATGTGGGAGACAGAATAATGACCCCAAAGACGTCCATGTCCTAATTCCTATGTGGGAGACAGAATAATAGCTCCAAAGATGTCCACATCCTAATCCCCATGTGGGAGACAGAATAGTGGCCCCAAAGATGTCCATGTCCTAATTCTGTGGGCATAGTGGCAGACGCCTGTAATCCCAGCTACTTGGGAGGCTGAGGCAGGGGAATTGCTTGAACCAGGGAGGTGGAAGTTGCAGTGAGCTGAGATTGCACCACTGCACTCTAGCCTGGGTGACAAAGTGAGACTCCACCTCAAAAAAAAAAAAAAAACCAAAAATAACAAATAAGGTTTATTTGGCTCATAATTCTGCTGAGTGTACAGGAATCATGGTTTCAGTGTCTGCTGCTGGTGAAAACCTCAGCAACTTCCACTCCTGGGGGGAGAGCAAGGGGAGCTGGTGTTACACGGTGGGAGAGGTGGCAAGAGGCGGGGAAGGAGGTACCAGCCTCTTTTTCTTTCTACTTTTTTTTTCTTTTGGAGACAGAGACTCCCTCTGTGGCCCAGGTTGGAGTGCAGTGGCGCGATCTTGGCTCACTGCAAGCTCTGCCTCCTGGGTTCAAGCGATTCTCCTGCCTCAGCCTCCCGAGTAGCTGGGATTATAGGTGCGTGCCGGCAGGCCCGGCGAATTTTTTGTATTTTAATACAGACGGGGTTTCACCGTGCTTCTCAGGCTGGTCTCGAACTCCTGAGCTCAGGTGATCCGCCCGCCTCAGCCTCCCAAAGTGCTGGGATCACAGGCGTGAGCCACCGTGCCCAGCCACCAGCCTCTGTTTCATAACCAGCTCTTTCAGGAACAAATAGAAAAAGAAGTCACTCATGACTACTAGAAAGTCACCAAGCCATTTATAAATATAGAGTCCGCCCTCCATGATTCAAACACCCCCTGCCAGTTTCCACCTCCAACCCAGAGAACCAAATTTCAACCTGAGATTGACAACGGACCAACAACCAAACTACATCATCACTTCGTCCTCCTGAAGGGACCAGACCTACTGAAAACTGGATTTTTAGACCAGAGAGGCCCAGGTTCTCATATCTCTCACCACAAGTGCTTGCTGTACAATAATAAATGATTTTTTTTTTTTTTTTGAGATGGAGTCTCGCTCTGTCGCCCAGGCTGGAGTGCAGTGGTGCGATCTCGGCTCACTGCAAGCTGCGCCTCCCGGGTTCACGCCATTCTCCTGCCTCAGCCTCCTGAGTAGCTGGGACTACAGGCGCCCGCCACCTCGCCCGGCTAATTTTTTGTATTTTTAGTAGAGACAGGGTTTCACCGTGTTAGCCAGGATGGTCTCGATCTCCTGACCTCGTGATCTGTCCGCCTCAGCCTCCCAAAGTGCTGGGATTTCAGGCGTGAGCTGCGGCGCCCGACCATGAATTTTTTTTTTTTTTAATGAGATGGAGTTTTGCTCTTGTGACTTGGGCTGGAGTGCAGTGGTGCAATCACAGGTTACTGTTACCTTGAACTCTAGTGATCCCCCCACCTCAGCCTCCCAGATAGCTGGGACTACAGGCACAAGCCACCATGCCCAGCTAACTCTTGCATTTTTTTTGTAGAGATGGGGTCTTGCTCTGTTGCCCAGGTCTTAAACTCCTGTCTCAAGCAATCCTCCTACTTTGGCCTCCCAAAGTGTTAGAAATACAGGCATGAGCCACAGCGCCCAGCCAAAGATCACGTTTTTATTTATTATTATTATTATTATTTTTGAGATGCAATCTTGCTCTGTCACCCAGGTTGGTGTGCAATGGCGTGATCTCGGCTCACTGCAACCTCCGCCTCCCGGGTTTAAGGGATTCTCCTGCCTCAGCCTCCCGACTCGGTGGGATGACAGGTGTACGCCACCACGGCTGGGTAAATTTCTGCATTTTTAGTTGAGATGGGGTTTCACCATGTTGGCCAGGCTGGTCTGGAACTCCTGACCTCAAGTGATCCACCTGCCTCGGCCTCCCAAAGTGCCGGGATGACAGGCGTGAGCTACCGTGCCTGGACCCAAACATCATGTCTTTAAATAAAAACGTAGAAAATGATATAAAGGCTCACGGCATCATCAACAAGAAAACAGTTCCCCAGTGTCTCGGAGGCGGAGATGTCCACGCCATTCCTTCACCCTCCGGGCCTCAGGTAATTTCCTTCACGGTCAACACCTCTTCACGGTAACCTTTACCTTCCTCTGCGGTGAATTCCTCCCAGATAATCTGAGAAAAAGAAGGAGGATTCAGGCTGTCAGATCTTCACAGCTGAGCCTGGGACTCGGAAGGCGGTGTTTATTTTTATCTTTCCCCCTCAAGACGGATTCTCGCTCTGACGCCCAGGCTGGAGTGCAGTGGCGCGACCTCAGCTCACTGCAACCTCCGCCTCCCGAGTTCAAGCCATTCTCCTGCCTCGGTCTCCTGAGGATTATAGGCATGTACCGCCACGCCCGACTAATTTTTGTACTTTTAGTACAGATGGGCTTTCACCATCTTGACCAGGCTGGTCTTGAACTCCTGACCTCGAGGTGATCCACTTGCCTCGGTCTCCCAAAGTGCTGGGATGACAGGCATGAGCCACTGCACCCGACCAGGGGTTTTTCCTGGGGTAAAGATCTGAGATGCATCCACCCATGCGGCCTCATAGTTAATGATGAACAGGGAGGCCTTTGGAAGAGCTTGTGAGCGTGAGACCTGGGCAGGGTGCAGCAGGTGCTAAGGCCCTGGGGCCGATGGAGCTTGGAGAAGGGAAGGTTGAAGCCTGAAGCTGTTATCCTGGCACCTCGACGTGGGGGACCCCTGGGGGTCAGTGGAAAGCGGGGGCTGGGGAGGAGGCTGGCGTGGGGGTGGAAGGTAACAGAATGGCAGATGGCTGGGTCTAGGACGGGGGTGTGCAAATGGCAACTGGAAGGGTGTTACCTATATGGCAGGAAAGAGGGCGCTGGGGGCAGCCCTGGGCTGGATCTGGAGTTCCCCATGGGAGGAAGACACAGCCCCTGAGGTGGAGAGAGGTGGCTGGGAGAGGGACACCCCTGGGCTCTTGGGATGTGGGTCACACAGGTCCCTCACTCTTAGTCACCCTCCCTGGAGTCTTGCTGTTGAGTCTGTCTCTTTGCCTGTTTTCTCTGTCTCCCTCTCTGTCTCTCTTTCCTCCCCCTCTCACCATCTTCCACCCTCATCTCTGAGTCTCTCTCTATTTCCGTCTTCCTGTGTGTCTGCCTCTGTTGGGTTCAGTCTCTCTGTTTCCCTTTCATCTCTTGGTTCTTGTCTCAGATACCTGGCACCAGTGACATGTTCCTGTGACTCAGGGACTGGGCTACAGTCCCCAGTTATTGAATCAAACCCTGACTCAGGGGCTGCCACAAAGGTGCTTTGTAGATGTGAAGTTCACAGTCAGCTGATTCCCAGGAAAAAAGATTGGACTAGAGAATGTGGGTGGGCCTCATCTAATAAGTCAAAGGTCTAAAGGGAAAGGGTGGGCCTTATCTAATTAATAAGCTGAAGGTCTAAACAAGAAGGGTGGGCCTCATCTAATCAGTCAAAGGTCTAAGGGGGAAGGGTGGGCCTCAGTCATAAATCAGTTGAAAGTTCAAGAGGAAGGTGGGATTGTAATCAGTTGAAGGTCTAAAAGGAAAATTAGGCTACATCTGAAATCGTTGAAGGTCAAGAGAGAAGGGAAGAGGTGACCTCATCTAATCAGTTTAAGTCTATAAAAAGGAAAGGTGAGCTCATCTAGCAGTTAAAGATAAAGGGGAAGGGTAGACTCATCTAATCAGTTAAGGTTTAAAGGAAAAGTGGACTCATCTAATCAGATTATGAAGGTCTAAAAAGGAAAAATTAGGCCTCATCTAATCTAGTTAAAGAAAATTAAAGGCAGAGCAAAAAGGCCTCATCTAATGGAGTTAAGTCTAAAGGAAAGTGGGCTCATCCAATCAGTAAGGATTTAAAGGAAAGTGGGCGCTAACATCTAATAAATCCAAAATCTAAAGAGGAAAGGCGAGCCTCTTAATTAATAAACTGAAGGTCTAGAGGAGGATGACCTCATCTAATCAGTCAAAGTACAAAGGGGAAGAGTGGGCATATTGTAATCGTTGAAGGTCTAGGAAAGTGGGCCTCATCTCATCAGTTGAAATTCTAAAAGGAGGTGGGCCTCATCTAAAATCAATTAAGTTCTAAAAGGGAAAGGTGACTCAACCAAATCAGTTGAAGATCTACAAAGGAAGGCTAGGCCTCTTTAATCAGTTGAAGGTCTAAAAAAAGGAAGGTAGGTCTCCATGTAATCAGTTGAAGGAGTCTAAAAGAGCCCTAAGGAAGAGGTGACCTCATCAATGGTTGAAGATCTAAGCTGACTGAACTCATCTAATCAATTGAAGTCTACAGTGAAGGTGACTCATCTGTGTCAGTTCAAAGAGCTGAGAAAGTGACATAGTCTAATCAGTCTAAAAGTCTCACAAAGAGAAGGAGTGAGCCTCATCTAATCAGAGATACAAAAAAGGAAGAATTGGGCCTCGTCTAATCAGTTGAAGGTCCCCAAAGGGGAAAGGTGGGGCTCATCTGTAATCGAAAGTCACTAAAGAAGGAAGGTGAAACTCATCTAGTCCTTTGAAAGTCCACAAAAAGAGAAAGTGACTCATCTAATCAGTTGAAGGTCAGGGACAAGTGGCCTCATATCATACATCAGTTAGTCTAAAGGAAAGCGGACCTCATCTAATCAGTCAAAGACCTAAAAAAGGAAGGTGGGCATAATCATTATAGAAGATTTCAGCAGGAAGGGCGGGCCCCATCTAATCAGATTGAATATCCAAAATGGAAAGGTGACTCGTATCCGTTGAATTAAGCGGAAAAAATTTGATCTCGATGTAATTAGCAACTGAAGAGTCTGAAAGAAGGTGAGACTCATCAGCATCAGTTTAAGAAGGTTTAAAGGAAGAGGCGAATCATCTAATCAGTTGCAAAGTCTAAAGGAAAGACGACCTCATCAACATCAGTTAGAAAGTCTAAAGAGGAAGTGGATCTACATTGTAATGGCAGTCTAAAGGAAGGAGTGGGCCTCATCTGTGTTGAGCCTTTAAAAGGGGCAGACTCATCTAGTCATGTGAAGGTCTAAAGAGAGAAAGTGGCCTGTCTAATCAGTAGAGGTCTAAAGGGAAGGGTGGGCCTGTAGTCGTCTGAAGAAGAAAAATTAAAAGGAAGGACAGCTCATCATCAGTGAAGATACAAGAAGGAAGAGTGAGCCTAATCATCAGTTGAGGTCTTGAGAAAAGAATTGGGCATGGTCTAATCAGTCAAAATTCAAAGAAGATAGACTCATCTGATGTTCAAGTCTAAAGGGAAGGTGGCCCTCATCTAAATGGTTAAGTCTAAAGAGAAAGGTGGGCCTCCTCTAATCAGTTAAAACTCTAAGAAAAAGAGGAAAAGGTGGGTCTCATACATAATCAGCGAAGAAGTCTAGCTGAAGAATTTGGGCCTGTAATCAACTGAAAGTTAAAGGGAAGGTGACCTCATCAGTTGAAGAATTAAAAGGGGAAAGATGTTCCTCATCTAATCAGTTGAAGAGTCTAACAGGGAAGGTGAAGGTCTAAATGTAATCAGCTGAAGGTCTAAAGGGAAAGGTGGAGGCCTCATTTAAATCAGTTAGAAGTCAGGGAAGGTGGGTCTCGTGTAATCAACTGAAGGTCTAAGTGCGGGAAAGTGGGCTCATCTAATAAGTCGAGGTCTGAAGGTAAAAGTGAAGCTCATCTAATCATTAAGAGGCTGAAAGGCGGTCCTCATTAATCAGTTAGAGTCTAAGGAAGTAAAATTGGGCGCATCTAATCAGTTGAAGGAAGGTCAAAGGGAAGGCGAGCCTCATCTAATCAGTTGAAGTGCAAATGGAAGGTGGCCTCATCATCAGTTGAGATTATATTGGGAAGGGTGCATTTCTATTAATCAGTATGAAGAAGGTATACTGGTGGAAGCTCATCTAATCAGTGGAAAGTCTAAATGGCAGAGGTGACTCATCAATTAATCAAAAAGTCTAAAGGGTCCAAGCTGGGGTTCCTGGACAGGGTTTATTTCCTTTCTAAAGTGATCTCCCTATGAGAATGCAGAGAGGTTCTGCCTCTGAGTGCAGCATCAGCTCTCTCAGCCTGACTGCCCGACCTGCCGGCTTTATAACATGAGGGCTTTCCTGAGCCAGAAGGCGTTGGGAAGACTGTTCCCATGAATTTCAGGGTGCCATCCATGATTCCACTGCCCTTGTTTCCCTCTCTAGAGCTCTTGCTGGCAGACCCAGTTACACTCTCTGTCTTCCCTGTCTCTCTCGGTCTGTGTCTCTTTCTCTGTCTCCCTCTCTATCTCTCTGCCTATGTCTCTCTGCCTCCATCGTTGATCCTCTCTTGTGTATGTCAACTGTCTCTCCGCTCCCAAGTCCCACCTCACATTCTCTCTCTCTGCTTTCTCTTTTCTCTTTGTCCTGTCTCCTATCTGTCCCTCTCTCCCTCTCCTCTCTCTTTTCTGTCTCATCTCTCTGTCAACTCTCCTCTCATGCCTCTGTTCCTCTGTCTCTCCTCTCCTACTGGGGTTGTTGATTTTTTTTTTTTGTTTATTTTTGTTTTTTGTTGTTGTCTTTCTTAAATGTAAGTTTTGCTCTTGTCATGGTTGGTGGCATGGTGTGTGAAGTCTCAGCTCACAGATCCACCCTCCTCTGAGTTCAAGCAATTCTCCTCCCAGCACCAAATTAGCTGGGATTTGATTACCATACCACTGTGATTTTGTAATTTTAGTAGATGAGGTTTCTCTATGATAGTCAGTAGTCTTGAACTCCCGCCTCAATTGATCTACCCACCTCAGCCTCCCAAAATGCCTGGATGTAGTGTGAAGCCCCCTTGGCCTGCTATTTCTTTGTATTTCTGTCCCTGTTCTCCTATCTGTCTCTCTGATGATCTTACTCTCTTAGTATGTCTCTGTGTTCCCTCTCTGTGTCTCTCTCTCTCCTCCTCTCCCTTTCTCCCTCCCTCTCTGTTTCTCTCTCTCTGCTATGCTTCTCTGCCTGTTTCTCTATTGATCATCTGCCTGGACTTCCTCTCTTATATCTCACCTTCTGTTCTCACTATACTTTATTTCCTCTCTCTCATCCGTCTCTCCATCTTTCTTTGCCTCTGTCTCTTACTCTCTCTGTTCCTGCCTCTCTTCTCCTACCTTCTTTTTTCTTTGAGATGGAGTCTCCTCTGTCTCCAAACAGGGCCGTGGTGCGATCTCTGACTCACTGCAACCTCCGCCTCCTGGGTTGGGTCATTCTCCTGCCTCAGCCTCCCCAGCCTCCCAGCCTCCTGAGTAGCTGGGATTACGAAGCGTCAACCTGCCATGCAGCTGGTCACATATTTTGTATTTTTTAGCAGGGCCTGGACACCACGTTGGCCAGGCTGGTCTCGAACTTCTGGCCTCACGTCACTCACCTGCCTCAGCCTCCCAAATTTTGGATGACAGGTGTGAGCCAAGCATGTCATCTCACCATCTTCTCTTCCTTGTTTTTGACCACCAGCCTGACTCAGTTTCACCTGATGGAGGGCTCACAGAAGGACCCTGGCTCAACCCGGGGGCTGATCCACGACCTGGGAGAAGTCAGGAGAGGATACAGATTCAGCCACACCGTGGCGGCGGTGATACCGACGATCGACATTCAGAGGCCATGTCCACCTCCCCGTTCCCCGCTTTCTGTCCCAGTCCTGCCGCTCCGCCCGCCCTCTACCTACCTCGTCTTCCACTTCCTGGTTATCATTCAGTTTGTCTTTGATCTGTGGGACTGGCGGGAACAGTCGCTGTATCTAAAGAACCTGAGACACAGAGAGAAAGTGTGAAAGAGCACATGAGTACCAGGGTTCACCTGCATCAGCCGCCCGTGTGCCAGGGGATACTGCGTGCGAAATTATCCTGTTTCAACACATAAAACAACTTCACTGAAATCACCAGATGATGAAAATCACCTTGGAACTAGGCCCAGGTCTTGGTGTCCGCGCTGTGTCCCGACACTTTTGGGAAGCTGAGGCAGAGATCACTGAGGTCAAAGTTGAGACCAGCCTGGCAACACGATGAGCTCAATCTCTACTAACATGCAAAAATTAACAAGTATGTCACCTGCCTATAATCCCAGCTGCAGGAGGCTGAGGCGAGGAGAATCGCGTGAACCTGAGGCGGAGGCTGCAGTGAGCCAAGGTGCACCACTGCTCAGCCTGGCGACAGAGTGGAGACTCCATCTCAAGAAAAAAATTAAAAAAGAAAGAATCACCAAATGATGAAAATCTGAGGAACTGGCCAGGTGCGGTGGCTCACGCCTGTATTCCCAGCACTTTGGGAGGCTGAGGCAGGTGGATCACTTAGGTCAGCGTTTGAGACCATCCTGGCCAAATGGTGAAACCCGTTTCTACTAAAAATGAAAAATTAGCCGGGTGTGATGGGTGCACTGTAATTCCAGCCCTCAGGAGGCTGAGGCAGAGTGCTTGAACCCAGAGTGGGATTGCAGTGAGCCGAGATCACACCACTGCACTCCAGCCTGGGGGTAGGCTCATCTAGAAAAAAGAAAGAAAGAAAGAAAGAAAGAAAGAAAGAAAGGAAGGAAAGGAAGGAAGGAAGGAAGGAAGGAAGGGAAGGAAGGAAGGAAAGGAGGAAGGAAAGGAAGGAATCACCAAATGACAACAATCTTACAACAATCTTAGGAACCAGGCGAGCCACGTGGCTCACGCCTGTCATCCCAGCACTTTGGGAGGCCAGGCGGGTGGACCACTTGAGGTCAGAGTTCGAGACCAGCCTGGCCAACATACTGAAACTGTCTCTCTAAAAATATACAAAAGTGCAAAATGTTGGCATGGTGCGTACCTGTAGTCCTTCCTCAGGAGGCTGAGGCAGGAGAATCTCTTGAACCTGGGAGGTTGCAGTGAGCCAGGATGGCCTGCACTCCAGCCTGGGCGGCGGGCGAGACTCCATCTCAAGAAAAAGAAAGAAAAGAAAAGAAAAGAAAAGAAAGAGAGAAAGAAAGAAAGAAAGAAAGAAAGAAAGAAAAGAAAGAAAGAAGAAAAAGAAAGAAGAGAGAAGAAAGGAAGGAAGGAAAGAAGGAAAGAAGGAAGAAAGAAAGAAAGAAGAAAGAAAAGAAAGAAGAAGAATCACCAAATGACAACAATCTTAAGGAACTAGGCTGGGCGCGGTGGCTCACACCTGTGATCCCAGCAGTTAAAGGAAGGCAGGGAGGATCACTTGATGTCCGGAGTTGAGATTAACCAAAACATGGTGAAACACATCTATTCCAAATACAAAAATTAGCTGAGTATCGTGCAATTTTCTGTCATCCCAGCTCTCAGAGGAGCTGAGGTGAGGAGAATCGCTTGAACCCGGGAGGCGGAGGTTACAGTGAACCCGAGATCACGTCCACGCCTCCCGCTGGGCGACAGAGCAAGACTCTGCCTCAAAAAAAAAAAGAGAACTGGGGAAGCAGAAGATCACCAGAATATACAGTGATGCTCTTGAGAATCTTTCTAAGAATCTTTTTTTTTGACTCTTTGATTATTCACCCATCAGCTTAAAAGTAGTTTGTTAAACCTTTCTGATCTTCAGCAGCCCCCTCAGGCACAGGAAGTCAGACAGCAGGCAGTCAGCTGTGACAGCTTCAGGAGTCTGAGTCCCTGGTGTTGGGAGCTGAGCTCAGAGGAAACGCCTACCTTGATCACCAGCCTTGGGAAGGCTATGGTTCCTGGTTGGAGGTGGAGTTATTATCTGTTTGTTTTGAGACAGAGTCTCGCTCTGCATCACCAGGCAGAGTGTGAGTGTGATCTCAATCCACCTGCCTCACTCTCCCGGGTTCAACGTTCTCTCAGCAGCCTCCTGGTGGCTGGATGAGCAGGCGCCTGCCACGCCCAGCTAATTTTTGTATTTTTAGTAGAGCGAGTTTCCCCACGTTGGCCAGGCTGGTCTCAAACTCCTGACCTCAGGTGATTCTCCCTGCAGCCTCCCGAGTGCTGGGATGACAGGCACGAGCAATGTGCCGGCCTGTTTCCTTAAGATTTTCGTCATTTGGCTGATTTTTTTTTTTTTTTTTTTTAGCAGTCTTGCTCTGTTGCCCAGGCCAAGTGCAGTGGTGCAATCTGAGCTCACTGCAACCTCACCTCCTGAGTTCAAACAGTTCTCCTACTTCAGCCTCCTGAGTAGCTGGGATGACAGGCACCTGCCACCTCGCACAACTAATTTTGTATTTTTAGTAGAGATGGGGTTTCCCCATGTTGATCAGGCTGGTCTCGAACTCCTGACCTCAGGTGATCCGCCCGCCTCAGCCTCCGAAAGTGCTGGGATGACAGGCGTGAGCCAACGTGCCCGGCCCTAGTTCCTTGGCTTTTCATCATTTGGTAGTTCTTTGGTGCTCTCTCTATTATTCCTGAATCCAGTGACAGGTCATCCTTCTAAGGGACAGCCAGAGAACCTGAGACCTGAAAGAGAGGAGGCCATGTGGAGACGGAGGCAGAGACTGGAGTGATCGGCCACAAGCCCAGGGAGTGTAGGAGCCCCAGGAGCTGGGAAGCAGGAAGGACCACTCCCTTAGAGGCAAAGCCACAGGAGACAGGAAGAACCACCTTTCTGTGCAGCTAAACTCCTGGTAGCTCTCATATCAAAAAGCAAAAAAGGGCGAGGTCCCAACAAGTTCTCCATATTACTGGTTTGGTCTTGGGATCACCAGACATCTTTGCAGGCTATCTCTCTCTCTCTCTCTCTCTCTCTCTCTCTCTCTCTCTCTCTGTCTCTCTCTCTCTATTTTCTTTTGTATTTTATTTTTAGAGACAGAGTTTCACTCTGCTGCCCAGGCTGGAGTGCAGTGGTGTCAGTCTCGCTCTCGCAACCTCCGCCTCCCGGGTTCAAGCGATTCTCCTGCCTCAGCCTCCCGGAGTGCTGGATGGCCGAGCTGCCTACCTTGGCTCATTTTTGTTTCCCCAGTAGAGATGGGGTTTCACTATAATAGGCCAGGATGGTCTTGATGCCCGACCTCAGGTGATCCGCCTGCGTCGGCCTCCCAAAGTGCTGGGGCGGCAGGCTGAAACCACCCGCGCCCATGTGTTGTTGTTTTGAGATGGAGTCAGCTCTGTCGCTGGGCTGAGTGCAGTGGTGCAATCTCAGCTCTTGCTCCGCCTCCCGGGTTCCAGCGATTCTCCTGCCTCAGCCTCCCGAGTAGCTGGGATTCAGGCTGCAGCCACCACATCAATAATTGCTGTGTTTTGGCAGAGACGGGGTTTCACCATGTTGGCCAGGCTGGTGAACTCCCGACCTCTGGAGGTGATCCGCCAGCCTCAAGCCACCAGTACTGGGATGACAGGCGTGACCTGCGCCCAGCCAAGGCTGTGTTTCTCTTTCTGAGACAGAGACGACTTTGGAGAAAGTGCTTTTCTCCCAGCCTGGCATGGTTGCCTGGGGATGCAGGGGTTTCACACATTACCTTCTAAAGAGGAAGCCTTGAAGGAAGCCACAGACAAGGGTTCCCAGGATCAGAACCACTTAAATGTGCTACAGAGCTGGGGTTTCGGTCGTCGAACCTACAGAGACACACGTGCGCGTCACGGTGAATGGCTGATGGACGTGTGAAAGGAAATTAAATTTCTTCGAACTCCAGACGCATTTAGCCACAGGGAACAGTCAAGCTGAGAACTAGGTCAGAAAACCTGCCTCCACCTTTTCTATAGTTCCTAAACAAGATGGCTCACAGAGATGAAAGGCCGCCCGCCTCGTCATGTTTTTGCCCACAGGAAGTCGTGGTGAGCATTCGAACTTCACCACCATGGTGGTGAGGCGTGGTGGCCACCTATAATCCCAGCAGATGAGGCAGGTGGATCACTTGAGGTCAGGAGTTCAAGACCAGCCTGGGCACACGGTGAAAACCCCGTCTCTCTACTAAAAATACAAAAAAGTGGCTGGGCGCCGTGGCTCGCCTGTGATCCCAACACTTTGGGAGGCCGAGGCGGGTGGATCACGAGGTCAGGAGATGGAGACCATCCTGGCTAACACGGTGAAACCCGTCTACTAAAAATACAAAAAACTAGCCGGGAGGCGGTGGCGGAGCCTAACGCAAAGTCAGTGTGGAAGACTAGAGGCAGGAGAATGGCACAAACCTGGGGAGAGCGGAGCTTGCGGTGAGCTGAGATCGGCCACTGCACTCCAACCTATGCGACCCAGGCGAGACTCCGTCTCAAAAAAAAAAAAAAATTAAAAATAAATAAATAAATAAATAAATAAAATAAAATAAAAATAAAAAATAAAAATACAAAAATTAGGCCAGGTGCGGTGCTCCTGCCTGTCATCCCAGCACTTTGGGAGGCGGGCGAGCAGAATCATCTGAGGCCAAGAGTTCAAGACCAGCCTGACTAACACGGTGAGCCCCATCTCTACTAAAAAAAAAAATACAACATTAGGCAGGCCGTGGTGGCAGGTGCCTGTAATCCCTTCCTCAGGAGTCTGAGGCAGGAGAATCGCTTGAACTTGGGAGGCGGAGGGTTGCGGTGAGGCAGTCATGTTGCACTCCAGCCTGAGGCGTGAAAGAAACTCCATCTCAAAATAAATAAATCAAAATACGGCGAAAATTAGCCAAGCGAGATGCACGCTTATAATCCCAGCTACTGGGAGGCTGAGGCAGGAGGAACAGCTTGGTCAGGAGATGGAAACTGCGAGAGATGTGCCATTGCACTCCAGCCTGGGTGACAGGCAAACTCCTCCCAAAATCAATATACAAATAAAAATAAAAATACAAAAATTGGCCAAGCGTGATGCACGTCTGTAATCCCAGCTACTCGGGAGGCTGAGGAGGAGAATCGCTGGGCCTGGGGTGGAGGCTGCAGTAGGCAGAGATCACTCCCTGTACTCTGGGCTGGGTAACAGGTGAGATACACCTCAAAACCAAATAAACGAGCACACACTTCTTTGAATTGGTGTGGGTACCTGAGCCACAGATGCACCTCTGATCACCCTGTATCCCCGTTTTGTCCGTGTCATCTGACGTAAAATACCAGAAGTTACAGAACACCTCCGTCCCTTGTTGAAATTGAAAACCGTGTACTTCTCAATATCCTGCCTCTTCCCCTTTCAATTTGGAGCCCTCAAATCATCTTAAAGCATGAGCCTGTTTCCCAGGCAGCCCAGACCTGACTTTTGAAAAGGCACCCCAGCTGGGCGCAGTGGCTCACGCCACGGCCTGCAGCACACTGGGAGGCCGAGGCGGGCGGATCACCTGAGGTGGGAGTTCGAGACCAGCCTGACCACGTCGGGAAGCCCCGTCTCTACTAAAAATACAAAATTAGCCGGGCGTATTGGTGAGTGCCTGTAGTCCAGCTACTCAGGAGCTGAGGCAGGAGAATTGTGGTCAGGAGGTGGGTGCAGTGAGCTGAGACCATGCCACTGCACTCCAGCCTGGGCAACAAGAGCTAAACTGTCTCAAAAAAAAAAAAAAAAAAAAAAAAAAAAGAGGAGGCTTCCCCATGGCCAGGAGCCAGAATGGTCATGGGTTTCAGTGGACGGACCCAGCTATTTCCCAGTGAGGCAGAGAGGGCTTTTGGAGGGCTGTCAGTGCAGGTTCTTCTGCTTGGCTCTGAAGGCCAGCTCATTCGTCTGAAAAAAGCAACCACCAATAAAACAATACCATGACCCTGTATGAGTATAGAGACCACCTCCTTCTTTTTTTTTTTTTTTTTGAGACAGAAGTCTCCTCTATCTCCCAGGCTGAGCCGCAGTGGTGGAGTCTCAAACCCCACTGCAAACTCTTTCAGGTTCACGCCATGCCTCCTGCCTCGGCCTCCCAGTAGCCTGGTTGGGCACCTCACCCGCCTGGCCTGATGCCGCATTTTTAGTAAGTAGGGTTTCACGATGTTGGCCGAGCTGATCTCGACTCCTGGCTCAGTAATTCGCCTCTCGGCCTCCCAAGTGCTGGGATTGTGTGCACCTACACCCAGTTAATTTTGTATTTTTAGTAAAGATAGGTTTCTGTGTTAGGCTGAGTCTCGAACTCCTGACCTCGTGATCCGCCTGCCTCAGCCTCCCCCAAAGTGCTGGGATGACAGGCGTGACACTGCGCCTGGCCATCCTGTGTCAAATTTTTGTGTTTTTAATGAGGCTGGGGTTTCACCATGTTAATCAGGCTGATCTCAATCCCAAACCTCAGGTGATCCACCCGCCTCAGCCTCCCAAAGTGCTGCAGGATGACAGGTGTAGCCACGTGCAGCCCTTCTCTGGTTATTAAAGAATGTGGCTCATCCATTCTGAAAAACACTTCATTAAAAGCGTGTTATTAGGACAAATGTGCTGAGACCCCTCCTTCTTTTGAGCCTCAACAATAAACTCAAGAGCCAGGCTATTCTAGCGATATTCTCAACTCAATCTCTTTCAGGACAGAGCACTTCAACCTCTGCCTCTGCTCTCCGTGTGAGACGGCACAGACATCCCTTACACTCGCCCAGCGCTTACCGTTCAGCAGCCTGCTCCAGGCACCGGTTCAGGGATGCGGACGTCTGCAGCTCTGATCTTCACAGCATGTCTTTGCCTCCCAGTTCAAACAGAAGAAAGTTATCTTTCCGAATCACAAAAGCATGATATGGAGAAAAAAAAGAAAGTTAGAATCAGTGTCTTGCGTAGGAAAAAGGTTGTCTTTTAGTTCTTCTATCTTTATCATTTTCTCCCTTTTTTTCTCTTTTTTCTTTTTTTTTCCTACCATTTGAATGCACCTCAGTCAGTCTTGGAAGCTAAATGAGTCAACCTCATTAGTATTTGGATGGGAGACAACTTGGAAAAATTTGAACATTATAGGTATTTATACCAGTCTAGTCTAGTCTATTTTAATAGTCTATTCTATTCTATTCGGATCTTAGTCTAGTCTATTCTCATTCATTCTAGTCTAGTCTATTCCTAGTCTATTCTATTCTATTCTATTCTATTCTAGTAAATTCCAAATAATCCTATTCTATTCTACTCCAGTCTATTCTATTCTATTCTATCATATTCTATTTCTGTTCCATTCTATTCAATTGATCTATTTCTAATTAGTCTATTCTAGTCTTAGTCTATTCTATTCTATTCAGTCAAAATCATTAGTCCAGTCTGTTCTTCTATTCCCTAATTAGTTATTAGTCTATTAATTAGTCTCAGTCTATCCTATTTCTAATCAGTCATATTATTATATATTTATATTCTATTATTCTAGTCAGTCTATTTCTTCTATTCTAGTCTAGTCAGTCAGATCTTCTATTCTATTCTATTCTATTCCATCTCTATTCTATTCTATTCATTATTATTCTAGTCTTCTGGAGACAGACTTCAAAGTGCTCTGTCACCCCAGGCTGGAGATGGCTGGCATGATCTATGACCTGCAGCCTCCTCACTGGGTTTGGCGATTCTCCACCTCCACCTCACAGGTTCAAGCGATTACTCCTGCCTCGCCTCCCATTCTTAGCTGGGTCCACAGGCGCCTGCCACCAGGCATGGGTAATGTTTGCCCCAGTAGAGACAGGTTTCTCCCGTTGGCCAGGCCTGGTGAACTCCTGGCCTGGTGATTTTGCCTCAGCCTCCCAAGATGCTGGGATGTGATGGCTTTGTGACCCACCGTGACCCAAGCTAAAATTTTTATTTTTTGAAGCAAAAATTGTTTGCCAAGGTGTGGTGGCAGTGCCTGTAGTCCCAGCTACTAGAAGCTTCAGGCAGAATGTCATGAATATGGGAGAGTGGAGGTTGCAGTGAGCAGGAACTACCACTGCCCACTCCGCCTGGGAGACAGAGCGAGACTCCGTCTCAAAAATAAATACACACATAAATAAATGATTCAGACAACCTTTGATATTAATAGACCTTCAGGCGAGATGGATTGTAGGGATGTTAAGATCTAAATTCTAGCAACCTCATTGGACAGAGAGGAGGATGCTGAGGTCAGAGTGGTCAGGCTCAATAAATATCTAATACAAAGAACTCGATCTAAATCACATTTAGAGGAGACATAGTCTCCTTAGACAGTACTGGAATATATTCTTAACCACTCAGAAAGAGAATAAAATGAAATCAGTGGCGTGACGAGCATTAATAGCCAACTGTTAGGACATGAAGGTTGGGAGCCAAATGGGATCCCGCCCAATGGGAACTTCGAGAGGGACCTCACCTATATGTGGATCTGTGTCCTCTGGTTCAGGGTCACGCCCCATCTCATCCCCCTGGGTAACACTGTGTGAACAAAGTAAGCGCCTACACTGTACTAAAGGTGAAATTACTGGGTTAAGTAGACTAGAGGACTGTAGGGTGACACTAGGGTTGTGAGTGGTTCAACAGTGATGGACAGATATTCTCCTGTCTACACTGGATCAAGGTAGACGTGGGGCAGGCTCTCCTTCTTGTCTCACCACTGGATTCAGTGGAGTGGGACAGGTCTTCTCTGTCTGCACTGGGTCAGGACAGATACCTCAGGTGTGTGATGGAAACCGTGCCAGATTCACTTT